AGATATTGAAGTTTGTAGCGTTAGATTAGAATCCTTTGAAAGCAATAAAACACAAAATAAAATTTAAATTTCGTTGAGTTGTGCTGATGTTTGAGGAATTCCAGAAGATTAAATGACTTTATCAAATCCATTTTGAAATCACTGGTTATTAATGTAATCTGATTGGCTTTCAGCAGTGCGATTTATTCACGAATCGCACTATTTTTATGCGGCTCTAAATGGCATCTTTTTCTCAGCCAATGAGAATGGGACAATAAAACAAAACAACCAATCAGATTTCAAGGTTAGTTTAAAGTAAGCAATAAAAATTTCGGGAAAATGAAAGACAAAAAGCTATTGTGTGGCAAATTTTGCAGCAATTACTGTTAAAACTTTGTTGTTGTTGTTGCTGTTGTTTTTTTTCAAACCTTTTGATGAATTTAATTAATTACAGTTTCTGAATTACGAGTATGAGCTCCTTCAGGCTGAAGACCTACTTTAAAGGAAGTTTCCAACATTTAGTGTTCATTTTGACGAATATTTTTTGAATATTATTTTTGACGATCTTTCTTCAGTATCTGCTCGAGATCCGTCCAACATAACATAAACAAACGAAAACCACACAACAAATTCAGGGCCATCTCAAGAAGGTAGATGTTTCCTGGTTCCCGGTAGTTTCAAACGAAGCAATGCAAGAGCTCAACTCTGTCGCTGTGAATAAACATACGTAGTCGAAATACGTCCCGCTCCACAAAACAGTGAATGATGAACGAACGTCTTCCGAAGCTCGTGCCCCGCCATCTTGAAAATATCTTGAAACAAACGACACTGCAAGAACTTGACAAGGTCTTGAGTATTAAGTTCTACTCCGAGGTCACAAAAAGAAACGGAGATAATAACGAGCTGGAATCCCTTAAAATCACGCAGAGTGCCATTGAACGGTATTTAAAAGAAAAAAAACTATTCACTTGGCATCGTGCACCCGAGGGAGTTTCACAACTCAAAAGTAATCCACCGCAGAATTACACAAGCTGCACCTTTAAATTCATTCTCCAAAGACAATTAGAAGTCTCAGCCTCCTCCACAAAAGAAAAGGAAGGTCTTCCATCATTGATTCAGGGGACGATAATTGAACTTTGATGCATGAAGTAGACTGTTTTCGTTCTGACTTCAGAACTGCTTGTTTCTTTGTTATGCTCGAATGAGTNGTAGACTGTTTTCGTTCTGACTTCAGAACTGCTTGTTTCTTTGTTATGCTCGAATGAGTTTTCGTCACATAAAATCGTTTTGCATACTAAATGAGATGTCAAGCCGTTTCCGGTTCGGCTATTTTAACACCGGCTACTGAATCTAAAATTTAACGCGATAAAGTTGTGCGATTTCAAAATGGATTTAATAAAGTGGCAATTGAACTTCGTGTCGTGCAATTTTGGTCTGAAACCATACTTGTGATTCCAAATCGAACTCGCGCTGCGCGCTCGTACCATCACGCGTATGATTTCAGACCAAATTACACTCCACTTGGTTCAATTACCATTATTAATTCAACCTTCTATAATTCCACGAACTGCCAAGATCACAGCGCACGATCGCGAGTTCTACCATAAGAAAAGGTTTTACAAAATAGGAAAGAGAAATAGTGCTGACGTGTGGAGCGTTTAGGTATGTAATAAAAACTACGTGAAAGCTTCAGATAACCATACAGATTGCTATATAACATAGCGC